ATCATTGAAAACGAAACGACATGAAGTTCTTTTTAAATCTGCGACGGAATCTCAGCCGTTGTCTTTACAGACGTCGTGTTGCTGCAGCTGTCTTTCCTCGTCATACACGCAACTTGACACTAAACGTAATAAATTAAAATAATAGGTAGGAAAACTTCGAATCGAAATATTTTATTTTCTATGAGGAAGATGACGTCATTGCAGTTCACTAAATGAAGTTTTTTTTCTGAGCAAAATAACGCATAAACAAAATCGAAAATGCAACTGATTTGCTGCTCCATCTCCGGTATGCAGCAATCTCGATCAATTATTACTGACATATGCAACACTCAAGTGTCTCTTAATTTGTTATTTCAAAGCTAGGTTGCCATCTCCACTGCTCTGTAGCCAACATGAGTGCTTGCAAAGCTATACCATCCCACTACAATGGGAAAGCGATACGCCCTGTTGTCCATCCAGACCGACATAGCGACGGCCCTACATCGGCCAACGAGCAGACAGTAATTAGTCTGCCAAGATTTTCAGGCAAGAAGTGCTCCGAGAATATCAGCAAGCAATCCCAATCAGCAATCTGGGGCAAGAACATAGAACAACAATCTGGAGAAGCGATCTCTGCAGCTCACTTAATTAAGGGTTATTATCGAGGCTTGAAATGCTCGCTCACATCGCTTGCACTCGTTGCAACAATTCCAGATCGGTCATATATGAATATTAGTGACTACTCGTGTTATATATGCAGGAAAATATACTTGATATTATCGTTTCAACACTTGAGCTTGAAGCTTATTGATTTAATATATCATGAATGATTTATTTTTTATCATAAATTATCAAAAAAGACCGAGAAATTACCGTACAAAAAGGTCTGTGTAAGGTCTGTGTAGGTATTCTGATAATTTGAGTGTGACAAATGAACGACATCAGTTTTTTTATGGTAAACTCCATATTATTCTGATCTGCTATCATTTATAGGTTTTTGTGCAAGTTCTTTCTTCTTCTTAAATGGGAGTTTTAATCTAGTAGGTATTTCATTAATTGCAGAGATTACTCTTAAATTAGATTTTATACTCACACCTCTTAACTGTTGCGATTTCCCTAAGCAGCTGCATTTCTAATACAATCTATAATCATTGAAATCTGCTCCAATTGTCAAAAATTTGGGCAAGGACTCTTCAAATGGACTGTAATATTGAAGTTTAAAATAATTGTTGAAGTACAATAAATTATAGTCTTCGATCGTAACGAAAAACTCGAGTAACTGTCACTTTCTACTAATTCTTCGAAAAATTAATGGAACTTCAACTCGGCCATGCATCAAATGATTAATGGATGTTCATTGTACAAAATAACCTAAGAATCAACGAATGGTTAATAGAAGAATCCAATCGAAACTGAAAATTAAATTTCTCTGCAACTAACACAATTTAACTTCAGGCATTTCTTCGTAGAGGTAAATGAAAGACTCGTTGTTTTGACATTTACTTAAAAATCCAGTTACAAAAAGATAGAGATTTCTTGAGACTCGGGCGGAGAACTTGACTGCATTGGAATCGCAAATCAAAGATATTTACCAACTCATATTGGGTAGCCAACCTGAGAAGGTATAGTTGACAAGTCAACTTAAAACTTAAAATTATAGGCTATGACTAGACACATCTAAGAACATCACAGGTCGCCGGCAATATCTTACACGTAAAACGATGGTTAAACACGAAGCTTCTGGCACGTTATAACCGTAGCTCAGAAACTTATAGTCAGAACTCATCGAAGATACAATTACGAAGTCCTAAGGCCGGCCTTATGGTGGCCAGCGAACACTTACCTTACATTTTTAATGATGTTCAATTAGAGAAGTTGAGCTCCAGAAGGAAAGTTATATATTTTTTGGTTAAAATACATAAATGTACAATGCCCTAAATGTCATTTTGTTTGAAATATCATCGAATATAAAATTTTTACGTAAGTCAACACCAATATTAATTTCATTTCTTTTCAGAGTTTGGCTTCAATCAATAAAAAATTTACGCACAGACATAAAAATTGACGTGAGTGGCGCGACCCTTGCAGAACAAGAAAGATCCTTTGCATGGAAAGAAATTAAATAATTAAACACAGTAAATCCTGAAATTACTAATTATTTTATTCACATGCCACCGTAGCCTCGGAAATACCAAGGTGAAAGGGCAAATTGGCAAAGCCCTGCTTGGAATTTGCATAAGCTGTATCCGCTTACATATAGTCTCTCTCTGGCTTTCAAATGCTTCATCTGTGACATGAATAATTAATAATCAGGTCGCGTCTTCCGGAGAGTGTTGTCTACTTCGACTTTATTAGGTTATCTATATTTGAATAACAATTTGAAACGTAAAATTTAAAACTGATATGAAAATCAAGCTTTCAAAAATTTTATAGTCAGTATTTTTTAAATATAATTCCGGATTGAAATGATCTTTTAATATTTTTATTTTTATATTTTTAGAATCATCTCCCGTTGCAAATCAACGACATGAAACTTTTGCCCAAGTTAGAGTGGAAGTTGCTGACTAGACAGCCTTGTCGCAGCCGAGGACAAACTCTGTCAGCTGTTTTTTACTTTTTCAGGTCAACTTGGCTGCTTCGTCTGTAGCAAAAATCTATGAAAAAATCATGTGTTTATGACTCGTTCTGCACTGTATCTTCTTTAGTGTCTAAACAACCGTATAATGGTAATTAATTCCTGCTTTCAAATGTCAAACTACATAGTGAAAAGATCGAGTTAATGCTAACCATTCACCAACAATAATAAATTTCAAAACATCACTGTAGGTGTGTTAAAAAATAAAACCGTTTTCCCTGATGGTAAAACTCTGGGGTAATTTTCACGTATGAACACTTTCGACTATTCATAACAATCATATGTTCTTCTTCAACAGAAGAGTTCATTTTCATCCGTAAGTTGGAGTCAATCTGAAAAATTATATTGAATTATGGTGGATTATATGAATTATGGTGGTAGTTGCAAATAGAAAAAAATTCATAAAAAAACGAGAAATAGAAATTCGAATCTTAAGGAGTAATCATTGAATATCTTGCACAGGATTGTAATTTTGTAGGGAATGAATAATGCTGACAGATTTTAGTTCATGCATATACACTGTCTAAACTTATGACATATTTTTCTGTTCCATAGAAAATTTTTTTTCTGGAATATTATAACTCTGGACACATCATTCGCAGTAAAAGTTTATTTTATTGGTTATTATAGTTTTCCCGATGTTGCTAATACCCTTAACAAAACTATTTTTTTCTTTGCCTTCGACAGTTTGCTCCAACAAATAACGTATGATTAATAATAGTTCACATATATGCAAATTATGAAGATATTTTTGAAAGAGGTTTCCCATTATTCCACATTAATCGGGTAAGTATTTTCCGTGTGCTTATTTCCTAAAACAAATTTCTAACTGTGTAGAGACAGAAAGCCTAATAAAATATGGAACGAAACGCATTACATCATTAATCAAGACTTTCTTGGATATTAGATTGTTGGCTTTATGACAGCTATTGACAAATTTTTGTAGTGAACTTGCATCCATAAAAATCTATTTTGTTTTAATCCGTGATATTTGAGTGATACGCCGCATCAAAAAATATTCACTCAAGAATTTGATCGCACGACGTTTCTAGTTCAAGATTAGAGAATAAAATCTGATAAGAACCGTAAACTTTTAGTAAAACTTTGACATTCAAAATTAAATCGACCTCGCATGCTGCTCCTCGGAGGGTCAATTTCATATCATTTGATATGCCCTGAAAATTTTCTACTATGAAGACTTTTTTGGCTCGTATACAAGGCTGAAAATTGCCAAAAATAATTTGTACATCAAGATTTACAGCGGCTGCTCACGAGACACATGGAAATATTTTTGCGAGGGAATTGTGCAGCTGAGCTGCTGATTTTTTGGTCTTGCAACGTTGAACATTTACAACTGGAAAAATCCGAATTTGTTTCACAAAAAATTAGTTTATGAGAGTTATGACTTGAATGAACATTCTATCACAGGAACAGCTTCTGAGGTGAAACACAAAATCCACATATATTATTTAGAAAAAAATTAACATCCTAACATCCAGTCACTAAGGAGAATCGATTTTTTTCGAAAGTCTCTTATTTTACACTCGTTCGGCGTTAATAATTATACAAAGAATCTCATGCACATTACATTAATACTGAGAATTATATCTGTACGAGAATGTCACACTCATGTTTTGGTGCTGAACGTCTTCATCTTGTTGAGAAAGCAAAGTAGTTTAAACAATTGATGAGCGATAAATGCTCAAACTTTACAGGCATTTCGGCTTACTAAGTTAATAAGGATGAGAACAGGCTGTACGTAAATTTTTCTTTCGCAAACTTGCATTAAATTTGAAACCGATTATATTAGAGTATATTGGTTTCTCATTCTAGAAGCTGACCAACCATAATATAATAAAACTCTGAAAATCCAAAGAAAAGTGCTGCACACGAATGATGAAAGTATATATTTTTAACTAATTAATTTTCGCCAGAATCGCGTGTTTTGTTGAGAAAAGATCGAAACATGTGAGTAATAAGATGAACAGAGCACATGTAATAAATGTTAAAAATGGTTTGAACATTCATGAAAACATCTTTTATAAACATCGGTCCGGTGAAAATGTTGCATGGTTGCCGGCATTCCACAAGTAGAGCGAAAAAATATTCTTAAATATCTTCAGCCAAATCATCTGAAAAAAATACCAGACTCGGAAACACTCGCACGTATTAATTTGATTGATTTCGAAGTTCTCTGCCTTTGCTTGGTAATATTATTGAATTTCAAGAAGCAACTGATTTTAGGGTAAAATGTAACATGAAACGTACATCTTAGTTTCTAACATTATTACTATTAGCACCATAGGCGCAGGCTCTATCATTCCCGTTGTAAAGGAAGTTGGGTCTTCAGTGCAGGTTGAATGCGAACTGTTGAGAGTGACTTCTATCTTAGCAGTTATTTATTCTCTGAAATATAGAGTCATTTTGAAGCGGTACCAATACTCGATCACAATTCAGTTCCAAAGCACGGTCGAGCATCGATGCTCATGACACATGACATAGAATCGGTCAACCGCAGCCGCCACCAGCTTGATGTTTAGTGGGCTGCTGATGTCTGATGTTTGCTTAGCATAGAAGCTCTTACTGAAATTGCCGCACTGGCCCAAGTATGCAGACACGCTACACAAGTGCAGCGGCTCAGCAGTTGAATTAATGCCAGGTTTTGCAGTTGCAGAGACCGGTCCTTCGGTGGATAGCAGAGACAGCGGCCAAGAGAGACAGCAGCAGCAGAGATGTCGCTGCGTTGCTTCTGAAGTCGGCGCTTGCGGATTTGACGGACCGACTTGTCGAGCGCTGGACGGCCATGGCTTAGCAGGAACACAAAATAAATCAGTTATTTCATTGGGATTACTATCAAATACAATGTTTAATTAAGGATAAATAGAAGGACACCATGAAAATTCACATTTTCCAAAAGTATTCACTAGATTATAGTCGAATTTTTGTGTGACTGAAAATTTAATTCCGTAACGAATAATCACGAAAAAAGTTTAACTCAAAATCAATGTAGATGCGCTGCACGTGCACGCCTATATCTACCCATGTTTGTAGTGAGCATATATTGATAAAATGAAATTGCCCGTGAAGTAAATATTCCGGCTCTGCCTTTTGCCAATTCTTTGTCCAAATTGAAACGCAGGCTGCAAGAAACTCCCTGCAGACCACACGGATACAAACTTAGAACAATACGAGCACGTGTATTTGTTCTTTTGGAGCAGACGCTCCTCAAAGTGAGCCGAATTGTACTACTTTTGTAGTCTAGTGATAAAGAACATCGCTCAAATCAGTAAGTTGGTGAAAACTCATTTTGTATTTTTCACATTTCCCACAACATTTTCTATGCAGCCGAATTCCAAAAAGTATCAAGTGATACTCTTCTAAGCCGTACGTATGATCTACTTAAAATTATGAATTGCCAAATTTATATTTATATATTTTAATTTTATCATTCAAATTTATCTCTTAGTTGTCATTCAAACAAGTTAATGCGCTGGTTTAGCTACGGAGATTCTTCGGCTGAAGTCAGAGATATTGTAGAGCAAAGTCCCTACGATTAGTAAGGCGCCTGCAGGGAATGCGCAACCATTCAGCAAGATAAAGCTCCTCTCTAAATGTCCGCTTTTTTCTTGAGAAATTCGTGAGACTCTGAATTAGCTTATCTGCTCGACAAAGGAGCGAACAATGGATGATTTATTCTTATCTGACTGGTACATGTTTCTTTTTACCGTGGCTTAAGAACATATGAATTAACGAATGAGCTGCCTCGATTGGTTGCACGCCTGAGAGTATTCTAAATGTGATAGGTAGAAAATTAAAGCTATCTTTAAATATTATTGAACAAGGCGACTTCTTTTCGATCCAAATTTACTGGCATCTTTGAGCGGCAAAACCGTCTCATATGACTTCATCGTAGGTAACTGGTTCCAGAATGTCACTAATTTGTTTCTAACTTACTCGTATTTTGCACAACAAATAAAACAACTCATTTTGTCTGATATTTTGGTAATATCATTACGAATGCTATATCGTTCGATAAATCCCAGCAATTCTTAATCGCGCATGCGAATTTCATCCATCAGCCTTGACTGCACTACGAATTCTATCCAGCAGCTAAGGCGTAAAACCTGATGTTACACGCATGAAGTCGTGCAGCGATTTCAGTTCATTTGAGCGCAAAGTCGCAATCTCAACCGACGAGTGTCTAGATCATCCAAGTTAATTTGAGTTCAAATGATAAGCAAGCTGTTGAATTAAACCCCGAGTGTTTCTGTCGTCTCAGTTAATATGAACGTAAAGAATAATCAAGTTGTAGAACCAAGCCAGGACTCTCTCAATGGTCGTCACATGTCCCCAGTCTGTTGTAAAGACGTCAGCGCAGTGCGGCCTGAATTTACTGACTTGCTTCACAATATTGTCGCTGAAAATTTTGTGTCTGCATGTTGCGTTTGGTCTCACAAATAAATTGTAATGCATGCTTCCAGAAAATTTGAGCCGTCGCGACGATTTTTTTTTTCAAAAATTTTACGTCTTAGTGGAGCTTTGGTGTGTATTTTGTGACAAATACAAGGAAATATTTCTGGTAAGAAGATTGGAGAAGAACCCAGTCATATTCTAGAAAAGTTCAATCTGTCTCGTGTAGAATCTATGCAATACTCTGAAATGTTTGAGGTAAACTTGATTTTTCATACGAACATCCTGTGTGAATTAGTCATAAAAAGTTGGAATAAGTATTTCAAAAGCTAATTTATCAATAAAAATGAAAATTTTACTCAAACTAAATAACTATTTACTATAGAATTTTGTCAAAACTTGAATCAATGAGGTTGTAAAATTAACTAATAAATTAGAACATTTCTTTTAAAACTCCCCTTTAAACTTTTCAAACTCCCGAATTCAATGTTATTTATTTATCACTCATCGTTTAAATTAATATGTAATCTAATTAGGTTTAACTCTTAGGTACGAAAATTTGTGATTTGTAAATTAAAGAGCTGGCTCGACAGTCAAACAAATCCAAATTATACAAGTACAGGTATATGCCAAAAAGAAATGCCAATAAGAAGATAAGAGGAGCCATAAATTCAAATCTGAAAATTTGATGCAGTGTCACTGAGACTTGTCTCGTTTGTAAAAACGCTCTAATTTTTTATCAGTTCAGGACTGCAGAGGATCATTGTTTTTTGCTTCAATCTGCTCACTCCGCAATGGCGAAACTTTGACCAAATAACGATTCGCTTTTCGCTCACGTAAGGCAAAGCCCAAACCCAGTTTTTCCCGACAAAAAAGCGTATATGTGCTTTTAAATATATCAAAAATGTTTTAAAATACATATTTTATATACAAAAGTCTACTCCCTGCTCTTGCTGTGGGTAAGAAATTATATCACTATCTGTAAAATATTATCCATGTATTTTTTATGAACGCAGGCGTGTCTTTAAAACTTACCTCTTCTTGTGGCGAATGAGAACCTGTCGGAGTCGCTGGACCAGCCGTAGTTGTTCTTGACTTTAACGAACGCTTCGTAGTCCGTAGCAACGTCCAGGTTGGTGAGCGTATGCGCCATGACGTGGTGAGTGTTCTCTGTCATCGTCTCAACATCCACTTCTTTGATTATTTCATGTTTATCTTCAGTCACTGAACCGTTCACCTGAATGCGGGGATGAATTGGAAATTGGGTATAAATTGCTCAGTCAAAGTTGCTGTATTTCGATGTCATATGATGGTTTATTTGTTCGACTAAACCGTTTGATGTCAAAGCCTCTCAAACTTTCAAGCAAAAATACAAAAATGAAAAATTTCATTTTTTCGTCCGCTGGCTCACCATAGTAAGTGAATTATGATATATAAATGGGTTTACTTTAATCTTATGTGTGACGTACGTGGCCTCGAAGTATGCTGAAGCAGACGCCTCGGTAAATGCTTCGTAGAATAATAATAATAATGATAATAATAATAATAATAAATAATAATAATAATATTAATAATAATAATTCTATTACGGTACCTTATTTTATCAAATTGTACTAAAAATAGTTATAAAAGTTTATACTGAGAGATCAGAGTAGCGATTGGAATTTTCTTTTAGTATCTAACTTTGATCTCGTCGTTAGAAATTTGAACTTATAGTAATAAATACTTACTAGGGGCAATAAAGTATAAGATGCATTTCAAAAGCTCATCAAATGGCATTCTTAAGTTTCCAAAATTTCAACTTACGGAATGGTACCAGAAAAATCGATACTTTTCGTAGAAAGTTCACTCTTCCAAATTATTTAATTAATTATTGACCATGATCTTGAAATACCATATAAAAATCTATGTTAATTAATTATTTGAAACAATTCAATCTCTCCACTCAGAGAAATTGATGGGTAATATATCCAAATAGCTATACACTTTCTACACGTAGCACCGATACGTTCTTATGCATGGCCAAACTGGGTCAAGATGATTCAGAAAATGCTTCGCTATTACGACAATATCTCACTCATTCTTTTGAGTGTGCAGCCTGGAATGTGATCTTAGAGAGAATTTCTTCACATTCAACGCAGTGAATCAAATTGTTATAAAATCGACCCAAAATCCTTCGTAATAGATCCATTGTAGACTGCGACCTTGCATGTGATAAACTCTTCTAGTTTTGTCTTCTGTGATGACAAAAGAAGAAAATTTCTTCTTCTTTACGGAAGATTTCTGAAGACTTTCTTAAGAGCAAGACGGAGTAAAACTCTGAACTAAATAAATTACTCTAATTATTTTCAAAGGATAAACATCAAGTTTTGAAACTCCATGTTGATGAATATTTTCCACACATTGTAGTTTAAAGAATTATTAAATTCATAGTATGAAGCTATACCTTCTGTTCTTTTATTTCTAACTTTGTGACTATAAAATTGGCATAAAACGAGAAAAGCAAGGTCTGTTTAATGTCTTTTTCTGATCTATTAAGGAAAAATTGTATGACTACTAAAACAAACCAATGTGGGACCTTTTATTCCATAAACTTTTAATATCGAATTAAAAAACAACAAGAAAACAGCGCCTGTGTTATCTTTTTGAACCTATAATATTTGAAGAGGAAATCAGAATATGAGCGGGCGCCATACTTTCAAAACTCGCTAAGTGAACGTAAAGTACTTACGCTCTATTTTCTTTTCTATGATGGGTGGATTTTGCTTGAAAGGCCGTCAATGATTGGCTAATGAACTTACGATCTCTTAACTTTTTTTGAAAGCATGGCCTCTGGCCTGTGCTACCTCAGTCGATGCCTGCGCCCGTCCGTAGATGAGTCTGTAGGCGATGATGGGGTAGTAGCTGTCGGTCTCCCAGGTGAGGGTGTAGGAGTTCACCTCCCCACCCGCTGGGGCGCTCGTGAAGCGCGGCTGTCGGGGCAGGCCTGAGTGCACACGAAGAAACCTTTTTCTGACATATGATTCCAGGTTCAAAGTTAACATAATGTGCTGGATGTTTTTCAAACGTTAAAAAATATAATCAAATACAGGATCTCTTTGACATGGCTGCGCCCTTCTCTGATGTCTGATTCGGCCCACGTAATACTGCCCCTCTAGCATCCATCCAGTCCGTACGGGCTGACCGTCGCGCGTCCACGAGACACGAGGGCTTGGGCGGCCGCGCACCAGACACACCAGCTCCACCTGGTCGCCCGCACCAGTGCGCACCACCGACTACACATGTCAGATGAGAATTTTTTGTGAATGTTTAATATCAGGAGGAAAAACCATTAATATGAAACTCGAATTGGAAGCTGCTGCTTTTTGTAAATACATCGATAATGCACATGCACCAACGGAACCATCCATAAAATTGTATTCAAAGATGCAGCATAAACATATGACTCACTACTTCTAACCCAAGCTTTGAACGTTTGACTAACCTTTTCGGTGACGATCTCAGGCGGATATTCGACGACGACCTTCATGGTGGCGGTAGCGGCGCTGCCAATGCCGTTCTCGGCCGTGCAGACGTACTGCCCTTCAACCAGACGATCCACGTGCTCAAGCACCAGATTTCCTGCCTAGCATTGAATTGAAATTGCCAGCTGTGAAATTTTTTGCAATTTTTAATGACATTAAATAAAAATGTTAAGTTGTGTAATGTTTCTCGTTTTGCAATGGTATTAGATTATATCAAGGAAATATTTTTCCTTATTAGTAAATTAGTAAAGATATTTAGAAAAAGGTGGATACCTATTCAAGCAGGCTTTTGTTATTTTATGATATAATGCTTAAGTTTCATATTACAGTACTGTGCATGTGCTTAGCTCGTAGCCACAGAAAATAGAAAAATAGAAACTTTATAGCAATTTCTTGTATAGATAAAATTCTCAGCTATCATTTCATTACAAATACATTGTGTTGATTTTTATTCATTTTTTAAGCCATTTCCACGCCTGAATATGACGAAAAACTTCAATAACTATTAAGTCCTAGGCTAAATAATACCAATCAATAGATTTACTCTAACTCTTAATAATTTTGTCAATAATATTATTAATAATATTGACATAACACTTTAATTTTTTGTTGACTCAATTCAGTGCTTTTGAACCTGGCTTTTGTCTGTGTCGAGCCCGAAAGAACGCTATATCCCTAACAAAATTTAGATGTGAGCTCGACGCTGATATAGCAGCAGCCTAAGATTCGGAGAGCACGTAAATCAGCCTTTCTATGTCCGCTTCGGCTCTGGATTTGAAGAGCAGCCTATAAGCACCCTAACAAAATTATGAGGTGGACGCCTCTGCATTACGTGCCGCCCAGGGCTCGGACAGCACGTAAATCAGCAGCTCTATGTTCACTTCGGCTTTGGGTTTGAGGGACAGCTTATGGGTAGCTTGTAAGCTCGGTATAACTCGGCTAGGCCAACCCTTCTCATTCTTTCAGGCGAATTTATAGTCAGAAATGAGATTCTGACACCAGAAACGGATTTCGATCGGTTGCCTAACCAGACCTAGATACTTTGCGCCGAGTGTAGCGACTATTCTGCTGAAGCCTGGGCAGTCCCTGAAACCGAGCAGCTGAAAGCTCGGTTTGTCTAGGCTCAACCAACCCTTGTCATACTCTCTGGTGACTATAAAGTCCGGAAGGAGATTCTGCTCTGAAGCTATTTTCGATCAGCTGGCCAAACAGGCCCAAAATAACTTTCATCTGAGTACAGCTACTACTGGGTAGATGCCTAGGCGGTACCCAAATATTGTTAGGGATCAGCTAGTTTGTTTTAAAGTGTTGTTCATGCCTCCAGTGTATAATCTAAAACTATTATGCAATAATTGTGTTCAATCTTGGTAGCTATTGGCCAATTCTGGGGCCAATATCAGTTTAACCAATTACATAAAATTACCACAACAAGTTTATTGATATCTTTACACAGAGTATTTTATTTCCATGTGACCGCAATAACCTTTTGTCGCCTCTTTTCTTCTGCGGGCAAAAGCTCAAGAAGTCGTAAACAAAAGTCTCCATCGCTGACCTGATCTTTGACGGCGCCTGCGGGAGGAGCGCCATCTTCAAAGGTCCATCTAATCTCCGGCCGCGGGTTTCCGTCGGCGCTGCAATAAAGTCGTAATCGCTGCCCCTTGACCACGTGTTGCACGGACGGACTCGACGAGTTCATGGAAGGAGAGTACTGTACGTTCAGCTGGTGTTGTAGTACCACGTCTGATCAAAAATTCCACGTAAAATATATAACGTTGGCTCGTAAAAAATAGTTTTATGGTTTCTGTAGTATGGTTGGTGAGTCTAAAATTCCTGTTAAATTTTATTTAAGCGGTCGTCAGAAGAGAAGATTTGGTTGGAAGTGTGTCATCTGATGAAAGTGCGAAAGCTTCCCTATTTTTATAAATTTTGTCCTTTATGTTGTTTAGAGCTAAAAATTAAATGTGCCCACCAAGGCTCAGCTAGAGAGATATGTACCGAAACTAAAATTCAGGCCCATAAAATGTACTTTTCTATCTTCGGAAAAAACTTATACCTTCTAAATGGCTGTTTGCTTTCTTTTTCAACACAGCAGAAACTGACCTTATCACTGATAATAAGAAATCATATAACATGCAAAAAATTCTAACGGCTGTCCGCATAGAAACTAAGAGCATTTTCGACTGATATTTTATAAATGGATTACAAATTTCAAACAAATATCAATAGACTGGCTTTAGAGCAAACCTTCAGCGGTGGGGAAGGAGCAGCTGTAGAGTCCCGCGTCCTGGCGCCGGGCGTTCAGGATGGTGAGCTTCGTGCGCTCGACTTTGAGGCGCTGCGTACGCACGAGCTTCACGCCGCCTGCGCTCACCAGATGCTTCTTGCCGCTCGCGCCGATGTGGTTCATCACCAACTTGTGGTCGCCTGCGAGTCAAAAGACGGTCGTTTCTAATTAAAATACTCGAATATGAGCATTAATTTGTGAAGTTGTGGTACCCGGTGAGTGGTAAGGTTATTGTTTTTAAATTATAATCAAAGCAAACGGTCCATATTCATGAGCTTATGGTCCTATGCGAATGAAAAGGAAGGTTTTTACCTTAGAGTTCATGATTATAACTATTACTTTGCTAATTTTGTGTCCATTGTGTATACAAATCGATAGTTTAAAATTTGATTTCAGGTACATGGGCGATAATTTACAAACTTGTGGTACAGCACGAGTGAAAAGCGTCAGTTTTTAATTTCCAATTCAAGTAGGTATGCATATGAGCATTACTTATCAACACCAAGGACAAAGGTTATAAGCTTAAATAACTGTGGCGCAATTAATCAATACGACAATACGACATTTCTTCTCGCTTCCAGTCACCGACATGTGGAACAGCCTCACTTATGATTTTGTCGACGCTCCGAGTATGAACGCGTTCAAGAATAATAGACTAGACAGTGCTGTGCAAAAGTATTATATGTTCAGTCTTGAAATGCCTAGCAGCCTATGCAACTAATAAAAGTCCAGTGAAGATGAAAACCAACGTAAGTTGAAAAGATCTTGTCAAAAGGCCAGTTTTTAAATCTGTGAACGAGTTACGAAAGGTAAAAAAATCGGCTGCAGGCCGAACAGGCCTATTTCTTTAACGCCGAAGATGCTATGCTAATTTACGAGCATGAGGTCCTTTGTTTAAAAAAAAAAACAACGTTTTGAATTATTAGTTAATGAGCTTTACTTCATAACCATTGGGTGACGTTCGAGGGAAATGACAGAGGGTCTTATAACCGAAATCAAGTTATTACTGCGCTTTTTTGCGTTTATATATGAATGCAGATGCGGAGGTTTTGAAACTACAATTCAATCGTAAGCGTAACTTGACGAACATCCGGTCATCTTTATCGAAAAATAAAGTTTTTAGGGGAATTGTTTTTATGTATATACTTACTTCGCGAGCGTGTGACATTCGGGATGGCAAAATAATCGATCAGTCAAATCTCAATTAATTAATATCTATAACGATTGACATGCATGTGTGATTCCTGACATATGAGCGATCAATGCCATTGAAATCGGGGGTTGGGTTGAAATCTAGTTTTATACCCGATAATAGAAGTATACAAAATACTAAAAATTGTTCGTTGTTTCAATCATTATAAAATAAATCACTTGAAAAGTAAAATTTTACCAGTCATAATTGACATTAAAATTAGATATGAGGCTGGACGATGGATGTGAAAAACGTAATTAACGTCACCATTTTTGGTACCTAATTTGTCTTGATTTAGTGCATTTAGATCTCATTCATACACGATTTTCCATTTTCATCGAAATTCACAGCTCAATCGGTTCCGCTTCGCTGAAAATCAAATCGAAAACCCAATGCGGAGATTCAACTTCCTTCAAAGCCCATAGAAGACTTTGGTAATATCGGAAACCGAAATTTGAACTCTGGCTCTCCGTACGCAGCTATCCCACCTTGGTTGCCGACGTCACACGGGATCATGATGGACTGGCCGATCTCGACGGTGAAGGTCTGGGAGCGTGAGAGGAAGAAAGGCGGATCTTCTTCCCCGTATTCGTTGTACTCGGACGACGGCAGACTTCCTCCGTGTCCTCCATCGGTGTGCTCAACCGCGCTGTGGCTCAATCCTGGCAAGGAAACATCACAATGCAAATTAAGAATTGAATTTTTTGGTCACACATAAATGCTGATAATTGTAATGGCGTAATCAAGCGATAATTGTTCCAGGATATCTCTAGTAAATAGAACTGATGCAGTACAGTGCAAAATAATTCTGTCTCGATATCATTAATTCGCAATAAAACAATGTATAGAGTATATAAAAATTCGAATCTATAGGTCTTTGAGGTATTTCGTAAGCCACAACGTCCTTTTAGCGCATTTTCTCATTTATGGAAAAAATTCTCTATTGTGCTCGCCATTTCCGTCCGTCTGTCTGTCCGTCTGTCTGTCCGTCCGTGACTTCACGTTTTCGTCGACGAGAAAATGCGCTCTCTGTGACTCACTGCAGTGAGTACTGAGTTTTCGTACCTGCACATATTTTTCCAAGCCTGCACATGGAAAATATTAGATTACGTTTCCACTTGTGACACGAACAAATGTTGCGTGGAATAAATCCAACGAAAATATCATCAGTACTTTTATGATTCAATTATTCCAATAGTTACGAAACTGTCCAAAGGGAATCGTTGCTAAATCAAACCAATTTCCATTCTGAAGTACTTGCAGTTATTTCAAATGCCGACAGCTCCCCAACGACAAGTTTGTTAAAATTCTCAAAAAATCTTGTTATTTTTTAATTGAAAAACAAAGCAATTATTTAGAATGTGCGCTGATTGCTGCACCTCAAATTTTAGCTCATTTTAAACTCTTTCTTGTCTGATTACATTTGGTGAAACGATGAAAGAGAGACTTTTTATATATTTTCTTCCATATCAAAATTGACTTTCGCTTTTCTCGCATATTAAAAAGAGAAATGGCAGTGTGGTCCCTATATAGATTATTCAATAAGTGAGTTTTATAACGTCCGTTACGTGAAGATATTTCCAGGAATAAAAAATGAAACGAAAAATATGAGCGATTTGTAAAAACTACAGCTCGAGCTGCAGCCTTCAGAGAAAAAAATATATGCTGAATGAATTTACACATCATGAATTTCAGCTGCTCCACTTTATACATGGACGCGAATGATTGTAGGTCTGATCTGGATGTGCAGTTTGCCGGTTGGTCTCGCTCTGAAATACTTCTTTCTAGTCCACCAATGAATACAAACGAACTATATTTGATAGCAACATGCATATTTACAGGAAAATTTTTTATACAACATTGAATTTATCACCAAACACAGTGAGAACTAAATACAAGCATTTGGTAGGATGAATGGAATGATTGCTTCACAACTACTACGTAAATTGCCAGGACCAAACGCTGACTCATTCCACTAACTCATGAATACCCATGCACAACTCAAACTTTTGTATCATCAATATTATGACCGGCCTTATGCAGGAAATTTTAACATCGGAGGAAAACATGACGAAAATTTCGATTGTGAAATTCATTCAGGATCCCCTCAAACATCCAGAATTTTCAAGGCCCCTTAAATAAAATGAAATGAACACTGAACACAAGCAGCATTAGCGCATCCTTCACCCCATTCTAAAGCAAAATTCTCGTGCAGGATTAGCGTTGCACTGCAAACATTGAGTAAAAAAATAAAAAAATTAAACTTCAGACTGTACGCACGTGGGCAATTAATGTCCTAGACGCTTAATGTTGCTTCTAAATAAATAAGTTACACATGATAATTGTAATGAATTAACAACAAACCTTCGATGGAGAAATTAATTAGGTCATTTAAGATTAAAGGGTCTCATTTCAGGAGGTTTTATATCCATTAAACGTGTAAGCAAGCTCTTAATTATGACAATATTTGAGAAATATTTGGTGATTATTGTCCACAAGACATAAGACTCGTTTCTTTGCGCTAAATTTTATTCATTTGGAATACTATAAGAAATGTGTTGAAGCATGAAGCTGTACTCTTATTATTAACTACAAGTTGATTTTGCAGATTTTGTCAATCTGAATAATCAATTTGAGAGTCTCTAATTTTCTTGCACAAGTTTTCTGGAACTACAGCCTTGAAACTTTTTCATAATTACGAACGAACTAAAATAAGTATGGTTGTCATTTATCTATCTAAAAATATACGGGTAACATATACATAAAAATTATTTTTACTAATGTTTAATGGTATTCAAAATTGATAACATACATACGTTATTTTCATGGTTCTCAGTTGGTTGGGCCGGAATTTTCATTGCTCACTGTAGCAAAATACGGAAATACGACTCACATGCGGGAAGACCGCATCATCGAAGCCATGCATTCACGCAATGCTAAATTAAAATTCAAGCACCAAATTTCAATTCATATTTATATATGTAACCATGTCCTAAATAATTATATTAGATATCACTTAATGATTACTTCATTACCTTATCATTAGTCTTGCTAGTCTACATTTAAACATTCTGTCTTCTCTTCTACAACATCGCAGTTGCTCACATGGAGACCGTTAACCGTTATTTTCGTGAGCTGTTCTGGTTCGTACCATCTCGATTCGTTGAGTTTCATTTATATTCATAGTTCTTCATTCATATCCATTTCATCGAAACATTCATGACATTCATTCATATATATTTCATCGAAACAGCCAGGGGTTCTTCAGTAGGATACAGAATTACACCCACCGAACATATTTATAACTTATACATATCAGTTACATCGCAATAATTTTAATGAAACCGCCAGGGGCGGAGACAGAAATGCACGCACTGAACACGTAGGAATTCTGACAAGTCGACATCCAGGACACAGCCATTTGCTGGTCAGGAGCGTTGATATCTCGCTCAGTGCACAGGAAGTTGCTATCTCGCTGGTAACTGATGACCCGATATGTCAAAGACGACAGCTCAGACAATCTTACTCCCGGCAATCAGGGTCTCAAAATAGCCAATATTTCCAATGATTGCATCCCCTATAGCTGGTCCGATCGATGTTTGTGTTTTGGACGCGTCGGTCAGGAAGGCCTTTGTGGAGGGGATACTTCGTTCAAAAAATTTCAAACTTTGTAAACTTGCAGGACCACGAGGAATAAACTTACAATTCATGTCAGCCTAATGCTTATTCTTTTCCTTTAAATACATCAAGGCTTTTGACTCAATATATAAGGCGTAATGTTATTTTATGTGATCTTAATTTTGAAAAATGTAGCAGGACGATGTAGAATTTTTTCAAAAGGTTTCTGCGAGTACATTTCCACGAATCCTAAATCTAATATAGGACAGAAAAGTAACTGTGGCATTAATATCCTCTAAAAAATTCTCGCTAAAACAAATGACTTCGTGGGCCGTTGCTTACTTCTCACATCAACGTATTCACGCATCATGTGCGACTCACCTGAAATCTTTTTTTTTATTTACATTACATTAAAGTAGTTCGTAGATTTCGGGAGCCTTCCAAAGTTATAATAACTTAATTATTCCGCAAACCCAAAAGAGCCAATTTAAGTTCCAAATGGATTCGTCACAAATTTTTTTTGCTCAGATCTGTAGCGATTGGCTGGCCTAAGAGGTTCAGAAATTCGAAATGAAGAGGGAATTTTCAATTAAAATACTTGGTCGTCTTATCAGCGGTATCCCGTGGATGGCCGACGATTAACCACCATAAATCAATTTAAAATTTTCTTCGCGGATCTGGATGAAGGCTAACCCTCGAGCGGAACACGCTGCGAATGCTTGATTGGAGCTTAGGAATGAACGTGTGGCCTCGTCTAATTAATTCTCTTCAAAGGCTTCCAGTTCTAAATGAATCTTCTGAAAAACTAAACTGGAGGAATCTCGCTAAAACTCGACATCACTAAGGACAAAACTGACTCGAATGTTTTATTTTTAAGCTTACCATGCTTTCCTACTTCAGAAATTTGCGTTTAAACATTCAAATGAATCTGATTTACGTATATTTTGTGAATTCATTATATCAGGTGATCAGGCTACGAAAAATTTTATTATCTACTTGAATTTCTCACCCAACTCTGCAGGCTATGAATATTACTAACGAGAACCGAATATACATCGCATGACGTTATAGGCTTGCAGTTATAACGCGTAATAACCTCATATTAGAGCTGCACACCATAAACCAAAACTAATTGCATTATATCGAAAAAAATCCGTTTTTCACAATTACCTACCTACTGCAGGGACTTATGTAAAATGGTTTAAATTGACCATATTAAAGCAGAAGTTTTATATAGTTTCAAACTTGAATACCCTTTAAATTCCGAATGAAAGGCTGTTGTCGTGGTTATGATAATGACAAAAATGAGCTAATTTTGGTTAGCTAATAATTTTAGTTTTAATTTTGTCTCATAATTTCATGTAATTTCCAAAAGAACAAAATTATTGAACCTGCCCTAAAGTAGGCTAGGCTCACTGAAAATTTGTAAAGCTTCCTCATCAACGTGGCTTGCTCTGCATTTCCATGGCGATCGTAAACACTAATGACTTCTTTTATCGAGCGCAGCCCTGACTCAGTCACGTGCCGATTACATCGATCAGCCGCTCCGCTGACAACAACGATCAGCCACTCCACTGACAACGCCGATCAGCCACTCCGTTTACAATACATTATTATTACACATATCAGCCTCTCCACTGACAAGACTGATCAGTGACTTTCACCGATCAACCGCATATGATCATTAGATATGACTTTATATCATACTGAGACTCATGACGTTGGTCAAATTTTTAGCACTACTTGAACACTCACAACCCTTTCCAGAGTACAGTCGCTGAATCCCTACCATAGTCTCCGACCCACTCTCGATCAAAACCATTGCATGATTCCGAAAGGTCTTTAAAGACTCTGACCGGCATAAAACCCCAGGCAGACTCCGGACACTCTTGCAAGTCCCTTCGGTCACGTCTCGGCAAAAACAATTCCCGTGGATTATCTGGCTTCTACGGAACTTTTAATGAGAGCGGCCGGACACAATCGGAGGTGAGGATAAAGACTGGCAAATAGGCGCTCTGATTGTTGGGATTCTCATGGCACTTGA